GGGTGGGTGGGTGGATGGATGGGTGGATGGATGGATGGATGGATGGGTGGGTGGGTGGATGGATGGATGGATGGGTGGGTGGGTGGATGGACAGACAGATCCGTGTGCGCAAGGAGGGCTGGTGGGGCAGCAACTGAGGCCAGACTTCAGAGAACCTCAAGTACCACCCTGTGCCAACCACCTCAAGCCCCGGAGTGACCAAATGAAGCACGCCACCTGCCCTGGACACTCGGCATGGAGATTATACACGTATACAGAACATAACCCACACCATCCCTGGAGCAGACTTCCTCTACGAGGGGAGTCCTTGAAGGGACGCAAAAAATCAAAAACCACCTACAAGAAACAGGAGCGAAGGGACCAGCAGTTAGTGTAATGGCTATGTTGCTGGACTCCCACGTAGTCGACCACGGTTTGCGTCCCGGACCCAGTGGCTTAAACTCACACCAGGCACGTGTGTGTGCATGCCCAAGATTCCGAGAGGAGAATGGAGGAGAAGGGATTGCGGCATGGCCATCCCCCCTGGGGGGTGATTTCTCGCTTTCTGTCTCTATGTCTCTGTCTGGCGAGTGCACGCGCCCTATAGCAAAAACCTCTCTTAAAAAACAATAGAAAAGAAAAAAAGAGAGAGAGAAAGTGACAAAGATAGACAGCACCTCCATTAGTCCTGACAGAAAGCGATACAGACAGACAGCACCCCCAACGGTCCTGACCCGGGTCTCGTGCCTGAAAGAGGTTTCCAGAACGGATCCTGCAGGCCACCCTCGCAGAACATCACGTTGAAATGCCGATCACTGGCAGGCCCCAGGTGCAGCTTTTAAAAACGAATGAACAGGGACCAGCAGATGGCGTAATGGTTATATCGCTGCACTTCCATGTAGCTGACTGGTTCGAGTCCCTAGGCCAGCAACTTAAAACTCACGCCAGGTGCGCGTGCGTGCCCGAGATCCCGAGAGGAGAATGGAGGAGAAGGGATTGCGGCGTAGCAATCCCCCCGGGGGCGATTTCTGGCTTTCTGTCTCTTAAGCAAGCACACACACCTTACAGCAAAAATCTCTCTGAAAAGAAGAAGAACAGACAGGGCCGGCTGGTGGTGTGGTTCAGTGAGCTGGACCCCAGCTGGCTGACCGCCTAGTTCGAGTCCTGGACCCAGTGGCTAAGAAACACAAGCAATACCTGTTCGCACCCAAATCCCGAGAGGAGAGCGGGAAGAAGGGACTGTGCAACCATCCCCCGGGGGTAGCTTTCTCTATCACTATCTTCCTGGTGACCACACACGACCTCCGGCAAAAAAATTAATAAGTAAATAAAAACATAAAATAAAATAAAAGGAAGGGATAGGTCCCCAGACCCCAGTGTGGCGCTGACTTGCACGTGTGTGTGTGGGGAGGGTCCTCCCGCAGAGGCACAGCCGGCCAGGCCTGAGCGGCAGACCACTCACCATGCCGCACCCTGGGTCACAGGGCAGACCCCAGCCGGGCCCAGGAGCACCCTGCCTGTGCCAGGTGGGGACAGGGATGCAGAGGTCACCGCGGCACCGCCTCACACGTGCGTGTCCCCGGCACCCCTGGCACCTCGCCCTGTCCTGCTGTCTGTCCCCTTCCCCAGCCTCTCGGGAGCCATCCGGGACCTCCTGGGGCCCTCCGTTCTGGACTCGGCCACCCCCAGGCTGCCCCAAGCCCCTCGCTGCAGCCACACTGCTCACTGGCTTGGGGGGGTCCCAGCCACTCCCAATGCCCTCCCTCTTCACTCCCCAGGTGTCCCACCATCGCCCAGCTCCGGGGACAGGGACATCACAACCTCCCCTCTGCTCCCACAGGTGCTCACTGGGCCCCTTCCCCCAGTTCCCTCCGAGACCCCCACCCATACCAACACCTCTGGGATCCCCTCCCCATGACCTCCTAGGGACCCCCCACCCCTCCTCATGGCTCAGGATCCCTCACTCTGTCCTCCCCTCTCAGGGTCCAGCACACTGACATTGCTACTGGGGACCCCACCACCCCACTTCTCCCTACAGGACTCCGCTCTCCTGATCCAGAAGCCTCATGTTGCTCTCTCCCCTCAGCAAGCCCCCACAGGGACCCCTCACCCCTCCTCTCCTCCCAGGGACCCCCCCTTGCCCAGATCTCATGAAGACTCTTCACCCCGTCCTCTCCTCCCAGGGACCTCCCTTCACCCCATCTACATCAGCGGGGACCCTTCTCCCCGTCCTTTCCTCCCAGGGACCCCCCTCACCCTGTCCTCATCACTGGGAACCCCTCTCCCCGTCCTCTTCTCCCAGGAAGAGACCCCCTCACCCTGTCAGCATCACCGGGGACCCCTCTCCCCGTCCCCTCCTCCCAGGGACCCCTCTCCCCGTCCCCTCCTCCCAGGGACCCC